GCAATGTGGTGGAAAATAAATAGAGACCAGTTGAGAGGTGGTATGAAATCGCTCACTCCCAATGTATACTAAGCTGGAGCCCTCTGCCACTGGAGCAGCTATCAGGGCAGCCCAGCCGCAGTGAGGGTGCAGGGTGGAAGGGGAAGCACAGAGCAGCAGTTCACTGGAGCTCCCCAATAAAACCTCTGTGGACCCGCTACACAGCACATGGTGGTGTCATTGGAGAGCTTCAACTCCCTCCTGTTTTACTGCAACTTCAGCAGTTTCAGGCTGTTTGGGAATTTCAGCTGGGGTATGCAGGAAATCAGCTGAATACACCTTGGATCTCCCAAGTTCAATGTGGGAAAGAAGGGACTGACTTTGGTTGTGGCAGTTCAAGATTCCTGTACCCTGCAATGAGGGCTGTTGGCTTGCAAACACAGAGAAAAGACCTAGTTGCTAAGCATTCACCTGTAAAAGAATGAGAAGGCACATTTGGCCTTGCTAGCTACCTGTATTTTCGTGCCAGCATTAAAGGCCACAGTCATTTGAACCCACAGTCATTTGCTACATACACAAAAAATGTGCCTTCCTCCACAAGGCTGAAAAATGGCATCCCCCTTCTACAGCTTCATGGCATTGGGAAGAGCTGCAGGATGCCAGGAGGTACAGAAATACAACATTTGTTACTGTAGGGATTAGTCTGCAGACTCAAAACTGCTGGAGGCAGCCCCTGATGAAGCTGGCGGCTTTAATGAAGGCTCAAGCACCGTCCAAACACTTTGCACAACCCCAGGCAGCACAGACACCATCCCACGACATGTGGGTGCTCCTTCGGTCTGCCAGCAGGCAGAAGGCTAACGCTTCCCTGCTGGTCTGGGCGGCAATGCGTGGAGTTAGCACCAGTGGTGGACGAGCCAGGGAAGGACACTGAGGGACATGGCTGTGCACAACACGGTTCCTGGGCAATTCTTGCCAGCTAATGCATGGCCGGGAGTGCTGCTCCAGAGCATGCTGGGGATGCAACTTCCACTCCACGGGGTTTTGGCTGCCTACAACCCATGTGCAGCCTGTGCACTCCCTCTCCTACTGTTTCGGGCCTTCACTTGGGTGTATGTGCAAGCACGCAGTGGTTTCTTCTGGCAGAGTGCTGCTAAGAGGCTGGTGATGAGAGAACAAAAGCAAGAGATTTTCTGTGTCCATTTTTACTGTCAGCACAATGCTCCCTTTCTGCCTGTTAGTATGTTTGCATTCCCCCTCTGTCAACAAAGACCTCAGCACAAGAACCTCCCCTAGTAAGAGTATCTTCCAAGCTGAACAGAAATTCACTTGTTCTCCTTTCCAGGCATGCTAATATCTTGATGGTTACTTTATCCCACCAGAATTAATATTTGGACACTTTTCCAAGTTTGCACCAAGCCACCCCTCCGGCTGCAACACATGTGGCAAAGCTTTTGTCACCACACAAGACTAACACAGACATATAATGAAAGCATTAAGTCCTGCAAGTGCAGCCATATGGCAAATCTCAGCTTGTCAACACAAACTAAGAGAATCACTTCAAGAACTAAATGGAGAGCTCACCTAATTTGCCCATCTGTCCCAGGATGTTTATTGGTTTAAAAAGGTGAAATAAGCTATCAGGAGGAACGCTCTGTATTGATACTTTGGCTCAAGACTCATTTGGCTTCATGTTGGTATCACAGAGACATACACTGCACTACAGAAAAGATAACATTAGTCAGGTTGCAAAATCAACCATGGAGACACTAGAAACCACAGAACTGAAATTGCCTATAAATCTTGATTAGAATCCCTTGTGGATATGGGTTATTTTATACTCTTTAACCACAGGATCATAAAGTGCTTGTCTACTAGAAAGATTAAGCACCCAGGATGGAGGATTGGCTTCGAACACAAAGCTATTCAATGTACATTTTCTCCTTCTACTCACTGCATGGCTTTGTATTTTACTTACTGCCCAATTCTTGGCCTGTCATGAAGACAGTGTGAGATTTAGTCCTTGCCCCTGAGACAGATGGCCACTGGGGGCCAGGGAAGCAGTGCCATGGGCTGTGGTGCACCTGCAAGTGCAAATAAAAGCAGCAGCTGGTAATGTGTTTAACAGGAAGTGATAAAGTCATAGTATTTGTCAAAAAAAAAAGCTTCAAGTGGTTGCAGATTCGGAACGCAAAAACTCAGAAAACTTTCACTTCAATTTCTTGCTGCAGCTACTGACCTGAAAAGCCAGGAGCAAAACCACCTCATCATTTCACAGAGGTGTTGTGAAAATAAGTTCCTACAAGTAGTTTTTTTCAGGAGCAAGACAAGATTGTCTCCCAGCCACAGTCGAAATTCATCACTTCTCTCCAGGCAGCATTCTCATACCTCCATTGCCACACCCTCTAAGGCCTTCTGGCAGTTCCGCCCTGAAGCATTTCCTCCATCCCTTTTACCTTCCTCAAGAAATGAAGCTGTGCCCAATAAAAAATGCTTCATCCAGGTATGCTGCCACAGCAGCAGTTGTGCAGCACTGCAGTCTCCTCTCCTCCATTGGGCAGCAGTTCATGCACAGCCCATGCTGTGTACCATGCCCTACAGGCTCCAACCTCCCTGGAGCTAACCCATCCTGTCGGTTGAAAGAAACTGGTGATGGCAGATGTTTGAGATCCTGTGAAGATGCCTGGATTGTGCTGGCTTCATGCAAGAGGGCCAACATTAATTTTGCCAACGCTATTTTCATGTGCTCTTTTAACACAGCTGAAATATAAGTTTTTTAAAAGTTTTTGCAAAAGCAAACTGAAAAGGCAGGAGACAGCCTACACTGTCTCCTGCATGGGGCATCACAACCCGCGCTCACATTTCATCTTGCCTCCAGCTCCTTGCTCTGCTCCGCTCCCTCATGAAGAGGCCCAACTTGTGCCACATCTATAACCGGCAGAACTGCTGCCTCCTCCCCATCACCTGAGCCTCCCTTTTAGTGCCCCAAAGCATACCTGTGAGTGAGGTGGAAATTTCAGTCAACTGAAGTCTAATTTAATTCCGTCAGAATTCAAATCTCAGCAGCAAGCCACCACCATAGCAGTGATCTCAAAATGGAAAGTCACAAGGTTGTAAACAAGGCAAAATAAATTCTTAGGACCATATTTGGATTCTGTTGTGAGTGTCTAGCCTAGTCGTCATTTATCACTGAGCAGCCAACAACTGCCGAACTGTGAGCCAAGCCCAAGCAAGGTGGATTAGGTGAGGGAGATGTGCTACACTCATGCTGCAAAATGCTGAACCTTTGTTAGCATTAAGTCCAAGCAGGACCACTGGGCTGCCTGATAACTTGGGACCCCTGAGGGACCTGCTTAGAACCGTGCTTTGTCAGGTTCTCCCAGTTCATTACCCTGGCCCGAACACAAAGTCAATGGAAATCACAACTAGAAGCTGGTATATTCCAGACCTTTTGGGGTAAGAACACAGCAATGGTCATAAGGCATCACATCAACTCCCCAGTAGCTGCAATATCCACTTGGATATGTAATACTGGGAGTTACATTGATGCTCTAGGCAAATCCGCATTAACATACCACAAAGCACCACCACACACTTCTCTGAAGATTTAAGACTAGGCAGACAAACAAGTGCTCTGGTGTCACAGACTCCTTGGATAAGACTGCCAGACCTCTCTCTAAATATCCCATCAGTTCTTTAGCATATCTTCCTAAAAATTACTAGAAATGTGCCATGTTTACCTCAGTTTTAAAATAGTGCATTGTAAGCTGCATATAAAAATTGCTACAATTCAAAACTAACACACAGCATAATACAAATGATCATAAAAGTGTTTGAAAAGTTGTGTGTTACTGTAAGATGAGAACAGAAAAAGTGCTGTTATGAAAGTGAAGCTTCTTTCCTATACCAGATCAAATACAAAGACACCTTGAGAGGAACCATTGCAAGACTATCTGCAAAGTGTTAGATCTTAAGAAGGCAGCTTCTACTTAATCATTCATGGCTCATGTGTCACCATTAATTCAGATTGCTGATGAAGATCCAGCACACTCAGCCTTGCATTGTCACAGCACAACCACCCGCTTCATCTGCCCCAAATGTTAACTGAGCAAGAGAGCTTCTGCAGGCCCAGAGAGAGGGGTTACAGGTGAAACAAAACCTTGGCAAAGAAGTTTAGACCAGTACTAATTTGGTGTTAGGCTTATTATTTCTGGATTACTAATAAACTCAGGCAGGCAGTGAGACGAGCTCAGCGTCCGCCTCCCAAGCTGTGGTAGAAACTCAGAGATAATAGTAAAATGGGATCGTCTCAGTAAGGCTAATACTAAAATGGTCATGATGTTCCTAACTCTGTCAAGTATAAGATGTTTAATCCTTTAAGAAGTAATTGCCTAGACTATGCTGGTTTTTGCTTTAATTTCAACTGATACTATTTTCCACCATGCAGAAGATTACGAATTTAAAAAATAAACTCCCTGTATGGTCTTCCAGTTGTTTTTAGGAAAGAGACTGACTAAAGAAATACCAGTAATATTAAATGAAATTTCATACACTTTTGAATGTAAAAAGAGAACATTATCTGGTTGTCTACAAACACAAGCGAGGAATCTATTCCCAAATTCTGTGCATTCAGATACAGGGTAAAATAGAGGCATGTCTTAGAACAGGAGGGTCTCCTAAGGAGCCAAATGAACTCTCACCATACACCCTTAAAATTAAGTTACAATTCAACACAAGCCACACAGAAATAACTTTGACTCTTTCTTTTACATATCTCACATGATTAAAATTACATTTTACATGAATTCTTACACTCTGCCCTCTACCTTTCAATAAATTAAGGTATTTGGTGTCATAATACATCCACAGGGCATAACAAAAAACAGGTAACTTCAGTTTAATTTGACTCCCAACAATAAATTTCAACAGAACTGAAAAGTCATGTCAGTCTGTTTCTGATGGTCAAGGACACTAGCCTCTGACTTTTATCTCATATAAAACATTGAAAATAATTTTCTTACCGTGCTCCAATGACATCAAAGAGATGCTGCCAGCGATCATTGATTTTGTTGAGTTTATCATCTATTTCTGCAACTCGGCTCCTGTTGCTAGCCTTGATTAGCTGATCGCCCATTTGTTTCAAGTGAAGCTTATTTTCACTGAACAGGTTTATTTCTTCCATGTAATCCTGATAAATATACACAAACATTGCTTAATTCCTGGGCAAAACAAAACAAAGCAAAACAAAACAAAACTATCTGTTTCTTTTCCCATGTGTGTGATGTGAAGGCAGGTTTGGCTTGTCATGGCTGGGGTTTCTATGTAAGAATATAGAACTCTTTCACTTAAAAAAAAAAAAAATCTGAATGGAAAAGCATTCACACAATAAAACCACTATGAAAATATAAGCAGCTTAAAGAATTACAAGTGCCAGGAGTAAGTACCCTAAAAATAGCAATGTTCTAAATTTGTTCTCTGATTTCCTGATTTAACATATTTTTTCAATCAAGCTACATCAAAAGAACCCAAATTCAAGTCTAGGATGGCTTTATTTTGCTGGTATTCTGATAAGAGAGAGATCTGGGATTAGATATTGAGACATTTAAGCCCTGGGGAGGAACACTGCAGTTAAAAAATGGTCCAGTTTAAAATCAAGCTAATATGCAAGTATTAGAAAGCACTAACTGCACTGACTACCAAGGAGAAGCGGCAGAATTAGGTTTTATTTTTGGTTGTGGTAACTCCTTGTTTGCTTGGCAAGCCCTGTCCTTCAAGCTCTTCTTTGCCCTGTGACTACCAGTGGCATAACTGCTGACCAGGTGGAGGTGGTGAGAGCAGTGAGGGGCTCCCAGGGCATCACATCCCCGGCAGGGAAAGCTCAGAGCAGTGCCACATGTGCATGTGTGCCCAACAACCCCAACTGCCCACATGCCCAATACTGCAACTCACATGTATCACACTCCATGCCTAAATGCAGTCAGGTGGCATTTCTGTTTTGCATTATGCTCCAAGTCTGGACATCAAGAAGACAAGAGCTGCACTAGAAAAGCTCATCTTCTCACAGAAGCCTGTATGTGCTGGTTTTGTATCATGTATCGCTTCCGAGAGGCAAGGGAGAAATGAGGAATGGTATCTCTATAATGAGCTATCAGACTGCAATTGAAGAAAAGTGGCGCTAATACTTACCTTCTGCAATTTGTCTATCATGTCTTCAATGCTAACATCCGCAGTCTGAAACACTTTGCTTTCCATTTGTACCAGCCAGGAGCACAGCTCCTTATTCTTCTCATTGAACACAATCCAGGCATTGAGCCTGTCCTCGATCTCCTGCTTACGCTGAGACACCTATGGATGAGCACACACATTAACTGCTGGCAACATCTTCCTCAGGGAGAAAACCAGCAATTATGAGCCTTCTAATTTCTAGTCTGCATTTGATCGCATTCCATTTTGAAGGAGCAGTTATCAAATATCTCCAGCTTTCTTTTCAAAGCCTGCACAGCACGCAGATTGTTATTACATCTTATTTTGGATAGCAGGGCCAAAAGTTGACTAGCAAACAGCAGATTCTCTCCCACAGAAGAATTAAACTGACACCTTTATAAATAATGAGCTTATATAAAAAATTAAATATTACTCAGTGAAAACCTGAAAACGCCAAACAAAGAATGAATATAAAATATACAATTACTACATACTGTTTAGTATGGTTTCATATCTAACACACGGGAAAAAACACCTAGGTCAGTTCTTATTTTTCTGCAACTGTAAGAGATACTTTGCAACTACTGGCTGCAATTATTTTATCTCTATAAAATCCTCCCTCTTTTCTTTCCATTTGCTCACCAGTTCTTGGAGAACTTCCAAAAAAAAAAAAAATCAGCATCAAGAATCTATCCTTTTTCTTGAAAACTACAGATTTTTTTTTGCTTAAAATTACATTTGACAAGACAGATAAACAAATTGTCTAGACAGGGAAATTAAGGTCTGATGCTGCCTGAACCAGCAAAGCTAATATCACTGCTCCAACATCTCAGCGAGAAGCAGGGTCACTCTTCTATTAGGTAATAGTACTTATTTCTTGCTAGGGGTCTTAAATATGTATTTGTATTCATTTATGTATTTTGATGGATTCCTGTGCCAAGATGTATGGGACAAAAGAAGTGAAAACCAGTACAAATTCTACTAAACCAAAACAAGACAAAAAACTAACTCCTCACCCTCACCAATAAACTTTGTGTAAAAACTGAGCATAACGTTTTGCTTGCCTTGGCTGCAAATGGCCACTCTAAATACCACCTCAGGGCAGGAAACATTCCCTCTTCACATCTAACATGCACCTTATACAGCATGAGACTCCTTAAAATGACATTACTGATTCTCCTGGACTAATTTCTAGCACTGCTTTGTACCTCAGAGTGAAGTTTAAGTGTGTAGTGCGAAAGCAAAACCAGCTCCACATAACACCAAGTTCAAAATAGGAGGCACCAAGTGATCTCTCACTATATTGCTTTTGTCCTTTCAACTCTCGCTTTTTTTAAGGAGAGAATGAGGAGGTGAAAATGATTTCTAAATCTTCCATGCTGATCTAAGCAAAGAGATGAGGCCGAAAGCACTGTCTTGGGACACAGGGAAGCAATCTCCAAAGTTCTCAATGGGAAGACGTCTGCTGGAGACCCCAGCAACCTCAGAAAGTCTCCCAAGAGGGCCTCTGCTCTGGGATGCTCCCTTGTACCTTCAGCCTCAGAGGAATCACCCCTCATGCTCCCTCTACCACCTACAGCATCTCCCACGTACGGAGGCAAGTTAATTTGGTCCATGGAAGAAGAGACTATGCATGCTAGTCTTTTAAAAAAACATCATTAAATCCTGAAATGATCCTCCCATTTTTGGCTGCTAAGCACAGGGCAAGGCGGGATTTTAAGAGCAAGAAGCACCTTTTAGCTGGCTAAGCAATACAGATTGGGGGTAGAACAAGAACGAGCCAAAAAATCCCAGACAAGCTTCTAGGAACATGAGCCCTTCAAGCTAGGCCTTGCTTTGAGCACCTTCTCCTCCAACCAGCTGCCCCAGGATACCAGCTCCAGTTTCCATCCACAGCACGATGCAGGAGCAATGTGGGCATTCCCAAGGGAGGTTAGAAGGATACCGAGGCCCAGGCATCCAACCTGTACACTAGCGTTTGCTAGGACAGGATAGCTGCTGATACGAATTAGTTAAATCTTTGACCTACATGTACCTTGCAAGGCCTGCAATGTAAACGCTAATCCCTTGAGCGCATCTGCTCACTAAGTGTGTTTGTGTCCCTGCCCAGTCCGGCACAGGCATCTGCCTGCCCGGCTCCCTCGGCTGTGAGTGACAGCTGCAGCCGCGTCTCGCTCTCAAAGGCTTTCTTTCACCTCTCCACATTTATACTGCGGATTTTTTTTTCACACAATACATCTTGACTCCTCTAATTTGTTAGCCAAAACAAAACAGTCGTGCTAGCAGCAGAAGCGATAAAGTCTGCTTTCCTACCCTCGTGTTCAGCGCTGAGCATCAGTGCAGCCTCTCCGGAGGCTCATTAGGGCTGTGTAAACATTTCAGTATGTCCCTCCGCTCCAGCACTGAATAGATTCCTCCCACTACAGATTTTTGCGTGCCTAACACAGTCACATTAATGTCACCCCCTTCTTCTCTCCAAGATAGAATGAACTAAATGTTGCTCCCTCAGGAAATGAAAATAGAAATTTTGAATAAAATCCGAACTTAAATTACTACAGGAAATTACTACTTGGATAGACTGTAGCGGGGTATATACAAAAGATAGCTTAATTTTCAGGGCTGTCCACCGCAGTTGAAACAGCAGGCATCAGCAGTTCACCAAAAAAGGAAAAACAACAAGTTCTCTCATTTATAGGCTTAACTACAGATTTCCATTAGGAAAATGGTTCAGGCATTTTGATTTAAAAATAACAGCCTGTATTTTTTGGGGGGGGGGGGGGGGTCATTACTCTGGTAATATTCCCACCGAGATTGCTTTACCTTTGCCTGAGTAAAGGTCAGACACAAAATACTAACTCGCTTCAATACTTCTTTATGAACTGTAAAATAAAAGCTATTGACTTATGAGTAAAGACAGGCAAGAGTTTGGCTTGCTGGCATGTAGAGCCATCCAGAGTACCTTAAGACCTTGAAGTATTTTACTTCTTCCAATCCTGTTAACAGGGCAAAGTAAACACACATTCAAACTCCATAATAACCTAATGAATCAAGTTCATGTGACTTTGCTGGTAAATGTTCCCCAGCAATTTTACATGCAGCACTAAATTAAGTGTAATATAGCAACAAGCCACAAAGAATGCAAATGTTTCACAACATTTTACTGCTACGGAAAAGACAATTCAGTTCATAGTGTGTTTAAACCCAAAGAGTCAGTATTTAAACACATTTAAGTTTTCTTTATCAACCCTTCTGGCATTTTTTTTTAAACATCAGATTGCAAAGACCTCCCCCTTCCTTTCCCTGCTTCATGCCCTCAGGCAGTTCCTGTGTTTATCCCTGCCTCCCTCCCCGCCTCCCTCCCTTCGGCAGCCCGGAACAAAGTCACCTATTGCAGTAAACAGCTGCATTTGAGCTCTGTGCAATTCAGGCACCCACTAGTTACAAAGAGGTTTTTTAAAAAAATTAAAATCTCAGCAGCCTGTGTCCGGGAAACAAAGGATAAACTCCAGCCCTGGTCAGCTGCACCACAAGAAGCCCCATCCCCACCCCAGACTGCGAAAGTGACCCAACGCCAAAAGAAGTCCTGTCTGCTAACCCTCTCCCCCTTTTCTGCCAGGCCCTGTGAATACCCCTCTATAAAACCCCAGAGGAGGTGGATGACTTACTCGCAAGCAGAGCTCTTCCCACTGCCTGTGCAGATGTTCAGCTCTCTCCTCGACCACCATCATGTCCTCGGCGAGGATGCCGTAAGCCAGCCACGCCTTCATGTCCCGCGCATCCTTCATGTCCCGGGCCCAGTCTGCCAGCGACTGCTCCAGCTCCTGCATGGAAACACACCCAGAACAAGCCTTGGCACTAAGCTCCTCTGGTTTCCAAACCTGCTGGTTAATCCCCTGCCTGGCCTGTGGGGGAGGAGAGGAGGGGAATGTGCAGCCGCTTGTGCAGCGTTCTCCAGCTGGACTGGACGGGGTCCCCGGGTGTTTGGCTCAGGGCCTGACTCGGAGCCCACTGGAGCCCAGAGCAGAGCTGCTGCTGATTAACTGGTGCAGCAACAGCCTCCCCTGCACCCAAAAATGCCGAAACGCTGCCTGACCTCCCGCAGCTCCCCATGCTCCAGGGCAGCGTTTGGTGTTTCACATCCAGGAAGGAATGTACCCACTTCTTTGGATTTTCTTTTTTTTTTTTTTTTTTTTAATTATTTTGGCCAAGTTGCTTTCCACCTGCATTTGTTCCAATTTCAGGTTACTCATTTAAATGCTAAAAAAAAAAAAAAATTGGTTCCCTTCTCTAATGAATGGTTTCACAGGCACTTCATCAGATTTGTCAGAAACGTGGAGCTTTTAAACTGCTCGTTCAAAGAAACACGCTCTCTCTTCTGCTTTGTTCCTCTGACTCCCCTTTCCCTTTATAACAAGGTTATGCATTTTCCTTATCAGTGTTAAACTGGTCACCTAAAAAGCAGAGACACCACTGCATGCAGCTGGGAAACCTGATACTCTACACGAGGTACTAGGTCTCATTTTGCAAGACGGTTGCTGGGAAGTGTCAGTAGCTCATCTAACAACAACAACAACAAAAAAAATCAACAAACCAACAACCTCTTTCAGAGGATCCAATTTGTCTCATTTTAAAGGTAAAAAATTTGTGAGTGTATCAGGAGAAGTGTGCTGGGTCCAAGCTCTGTGAGCATTTTCACAGGGCTTTTGTGATGTGCTTCAACATTGGAGGAAAAAAAAAAAAAACCACAACAAACCAAGCTGATACTAAAATTTACCTGAGCTCACAAAAAATTACTGCCTACAGATCTGGATACATGCATCTATACATCTTAACAAGGGTCAAATCCCTGCATTAATGGAGCTAAGGATGGAATTTCATGGGACTTCACTAGCCTCATATAAGGTCCAGGCCTGAGAGAAAAACAGCTTTATTCCATATAAGAGTGAAATGCAGGGAGTGGAAAGGAGGTCCCTTCTCACCCGTGCCATTTTAGTCCTTTATTATACTGTGACACCCAAGAGCAGAAACTGCACTGGCACTGTCTGACCCTGACGCCTCTGCAGCTGATTTTCTCTTACTGGAATAAGAGGCAGGAGCTGTGTGCTGCCATCTCACAAATAATTCAGAGCTACAGCAGGAGTGCTGCCGTGGGAAAGGCAGCCAGCACTCACAAAGAAGATTTCAGACAGCTGATAATGAGTTCAAAGCCTTGGCTCATTAATAAGCTTATTTGTTCCCACTACATAGGTCAACAATTCACTTCAAAAAAGGATGATGACAGACTGACCAGTCCAGACAAAATGTCTCCTATCCCTTGGAAATGCTTTCCTTGTCATTTAATTTTCATAGTGCACTATGGGCTGCAAGGGCTTTTGCAACTCCCTTACTCTTAATTTTCTTTCTCTTTAATTATGCTCAGATCCCGCAGGTGTGCATGGTGCTTTGCAGACTTACAAGGTCTCTTGCCTGAGGAGCTCCCTGTCCAAAATGAAAACAAAAAGGAAAAACAAACAAACAAAAAAGAAACAACCCAAAACACCACAATAAAAAAGGAAACAAAAAGGGAGATTCAGCCATTAGACTAACAGTCAATTGAGCTGAGACCAGGGAGGTTTTTTTCCCTTTTGTTTGAGGAACTGCTTATTTTATAAATTCAAACTGTGGAAAAGGAGCAGAAGCAGGAAAAAAAAAAATCCAAACACTACTACTGTTGTAATCTTCTTGACCAGCTGGACTTTGCAGATTGGCAGCAAACAGGATGGTGTAAAGGAGAGAAATTCAGTGTCACTGCAGAACAGGGAAGAAAGAAAACTGAAGGAGGGAAAGGGGATCAGGTGTTGTGCAAAGACTACATCTATTTAAATACAATATGGCTGTTCAATACCTTAATGTGTTCCTTGACTTTGTAGAGCTCTTCATGTTCAACTGGAAGTGGATCTTTTACTTTCTCCTTCAGCTCTCGCAGCCTGCTTTCCAATTCCTTCGTTTGTTTTTCATAGGAGTCCCAACTCTGCTCAAGGAGACCCACGGAAGTTATAAAAGGTTAAGATACTTTTTCATGACATATTGAACCATATGGATATACTACAAAATAGCCTCTTCAACCCACAGAAGTAAATAATCATGTGCTCTGACTATTTAGATTTTCTCTTCGATACATAGTACCAGCCACAAGAATTTGGTGCATCAATTTATAGAACTTGAACCCTCTCCTGTATTTAAAGTTTGCCTTACAGAGCATTTCTGATCATTTTGTTCTGTCCAACCTGAGAGGCTTTAAGCATAGTTTTTGGGCCGAGGATTGTATTGATGACAGTACTCAATTTTAAGACATTTTATGTGCTTTCTAGCCATGAAAGCAAATTCATTGCTCTAAGGAAATAAATATGACCTATCCTTCTGATTAGAGGTGCAACAACAGCAGGAGCAACAAGTCATGCTAACTCCCTGTAAGCTAAATTTTAGCACAGGCTTCACAGTCTGAAGCAGGAGAGAGCTCCAGGCCTCGGGGAGCATGATAACAATCAGAGCGGGAAAACATCCATTGTAGCAACAAATGGATGCCAACCCCATTTTCCTTTGGAGATCCAGGGGACTACAGTTTTACCTTCCCACAAGCCCTGATGGCACGTGACAGGGACTTCCCTCAGAGCCCCTCTGCAGCAAGCAGTAGCTCAGCATTTGCCTTGTTGCTGCAGAGTTCAGCCCTGGGGACCGTGGGGCAGGGAAGCTCTCGAGACCCAACGCCAGAGAAGCAGGTGCCACTCCTCCCTGGGGAGGGCATCATCTACCTCTAGGGTGCTGCTGAGGTGCATCTTCTCCTTGTCCAGCAGCACCTGGGTGTGCCCCCAACTCTGCTGTAACTGGCTGAGCTCCTCCTGGAGAAGATCGCTGGTTTCAGGATCGGAGACAGTGCGTAACTTCTCCCCGACATCGATGATTAAGGAGTACATGGCTTGCCACCTCTGAAGAATCACTGCCTTACTCTTTAAATGAAAAAAAAAACAAAATTAAGTTTCTAAGTTGTTCTTAGCACGCTTTAGAAGTGCACTCCTGGCATTTCACTTGGGAAGAAGTGAAGACTCACACAAGGCACTAGTTTGTTCATGTTCAAGAGTAATGAATAGATCTTTTCTTATCTGCTTTTTTACTTTAAGAAAAATCAGATTCTTTCTAATCTTCTGATCTATAAAACTCTACAATAGCTTTTCACAGACTGAATCTACAGAGTGAAAGTGCAGCAGTTATAAAAAGATGGAAATTCAGTTGTCTGAGTTACTCTGAATAAAAAAAGCAGTTTAAGTTCTGTTAGCACCTCTAGCATCAACAACAGAGACAAATTTTTCACAGATAACAGCTCTGTTAATCATGACATACTCCAAGTGAAGCCATCAATAATAATTTGCCTACAAGACAAATTGGTCTGTAACACAAGCAGATAGGATCATTGTTTCTTTCTGTAAAACAACAGCAGGAGGGAAGGGCAATTTGGAGTAGGAGGGAGAACACTTTCTGGCTTTTCTCACTAAGGAAAAGCATGAGCACTAACTTGTAAAATCTACTGAAAATTATCTTTACACAGCAGGTAAAAATAAAGATGAAATAAACAGGGTAAGCACCAAATGGAATACTGGTAATGCGTTCATCTATCAACATTAGGTGTGTGGGAACACAACAAATCTTAGACCATGCAAATAGCATTCAATAATGTATCTTTGAAAGGTTTTAGATTGCCTTAAGCAACCATCAAGTTCACTGCATGTTTTTACTTTCTTGTAAAACAAAGAGGTACATAATTAAAAGGAAAACCAAGATACCCGAAATTAACAAAGGAAAATATTTTTTTCCACTGCACGTAAAATGCAGAACTTGCTGCCCTGAAGAACTGCTGCCCAGGTCTGTGCATCCTGGAGTGGTGGTTCCAAGCACAGACCCCCTTGCAAGTGCTTTATCCTCTTCTCCTGGCAGGTCCTGCCCATCCCTGCACACACGGGAGCCATACAGCCTGTCTTGCCACACACGTGCCTGCTTCCTTCAGGCAAACCGCAAGGCCTGCACTCAGCGGCCATGTCAATAAGGCGCAATACAGACCTAGAGGGTACCTGCTGACCAACGTTCCTGCCTAATCTCCCTGGCACCCTGCATTTCCATGTTCATATCAGTAATATTTTTAAAGCATACAAGGCTACTAAATGACAATGTTGACCAGAAAGTTTCCTACTATAATGAGCCTTTCATAATATCACTGCTTTCTCACCTGTGCTCAGCTTTAAGAAAAAGTGTCAGCAATTGTTTTTCCCCCAAAAAGCATGTGATTTTAAAGCTTTTTACCTTACTGGACAGAAGTTGTTTCAGTCTGAGAAAAAAACACAGATTTTAGATTTATAAGCAATAAATACAGTACCTTGACATCATGAATTAGATTTCTAAGCTGGTAAGGGCTACAGCAGTCCTTGCTCTTCACAACTGTGATGAAGCTGTTTGTATCAGCAAGAAACCTGTTGAGACTCTGCAGGGAACTCCTGAAGAGCTGCCACTGGCT